TTAATAAGCAGACACATGCACTCTTTGTATGTTTAATAACGCTACACTGCTAATATGTCATAAACATCCTTTATTGTTACAAAAATACCATGAGCTGCATACAAAACAGGGGAAACTTGTGTGTGTGTGTGTGTGTGTGTGTGTGTGTGTATGTTTATGTATTTATTCAAAATGAAGTGCCTACTTATAAAAGTCAAAACAGTCAGAATTCACGAGACTTTTTCCATTCTTTTTCTTCTCCCTCCCAGCTTTCCATACTAAAGCTTTACCATCTTTCTCTTGACCCACAAAAACATCTAAACCAGATACTCACACAAGCCAGTCCACAGCCAAAATGAGGGACAGATCGTTGGTGGGAAGACCTACTGACTCCAAAATGATGGCCAGCGTCAGCACCCCTCCAGCAGGGATCCCAGCAGCTCCCACGCTAGACGCCGTCGCAGTCACACTACAAACAGATATAAAGTCAGTCAGTCAAAGTCTTCCAATCAAAGCAGAGTATGGAGGTGGCTGAAAGACATTCAATGAACTCACAGGATGGTGATGACCTGGACGAAGTCCAGCGGGATACCGTTAAGCTGAGCGATGAACACCGCAGCTACACACTGGAAGCAGGCGGCTCCGTCCATGTTGACGGTAGCTCCGATGGGCAGGATGAAGCGGCTGATGTGCTTGGACACACCGTTGTTCTCCTCCACACATTTCATCATAAGGGGCAATGTGGCAGAGCTGATCAGAAAATCTGATATTTATTTCCTGCATAATTGTGCATTTGCAATATTCAATTAATAAATGTAATCAAACTAAGGTAACTAATCAAAATTGGCGTAATAAGACATCAAATCCATTTAAGGCCAGGAATCTGATCACAAGTGGTCACAGGAGACACAGCTGAGGCACATCTTACTTCCAGGAGAGGTATTTTCAGACCACTTGTGTTTGGATCAGAGACTGATGTAAATACCGGGTTTTAAACCGGCCTACACTAATACAAAATAAAGGCTCCAAAATGATGTTTTCACACCCATACCAAGAACAACCTTTTGGGTTCCGCAAAGAACCTTTCAATGGACAGTTCCACTATAAAGAACCTTTTGTGCAATGGAAAGGTTCCATGGATATTAAATGTTCTTCATGGAACCATAGATGCCAATAGAGAAGCTGCTTATTCATTTACCTAGAGGACGTTCCAAAGGCAGTAGCCAAAGCGGTGACCAATCCCAGCAAGAAAGTGTATGGGTTCTTCCTTGTAATCACAAAGTAAATGAATGGGAGGATAAGAAGACCGTGGATGGCATGGCCAATGACGCAGCAGGCGATGTACTTCCCCAGGCTGGCGAACAGCAAGCCAACATCCTCCATTTCCACAATCTTAGCAGCAACCAGGAACATAATACCCAGTGGTGCATACCTGCAGACATAAAAACATGAGATATGGTGTCAGGGAAGTGAAGAGACGAATATATAGGACACCACAATTCAAACATTCGAAACAAACACTGGGAAAAACATGTGATGTTCCCTTACCACATGATCCAGGAGACCAACACCATGGTGGCCTCATTGAAAGAGTTGAAGAACTTGATAAGGATCTCTCCTTCCTCCCCAAGTTTCCTCAAGGCCACACCAAATGCCATAGCAAAAATGATGAGACCCAGGATGTTCATGCCATCCACATCTGTGCCAACTGGAACCTAAACACAAAGACATAAATGACTGAATTCACACACACACACACACACACACACACACACAAATAAATACTTTTTTTTTTATATTAACCACTAATATTTAAAGTAATTTTTTCATGCATAAATTAAATTATAATAATATTATACTGTAATAATAAACTGTAATAATATATATTTTTATAAATGTATTTAGAGAATTGTAAAAACAAAAAATGATATTTATATTTATCAAACAATAAATAAAATAAGAATCTGGACTTTCAAGACTATTCTAAAGGACTTTGTACCTTTTCCAAAGAGAAGTTGGTCGAGTTGGTGTCATTCTTTACAAACTTGTAACTAGTGGCATACTGTGAAGAAAAAAATGTTCAGAATCGTCTAATAAATCGCACATCACATAGAAAACACATAACCAAAAGCTTAAACCAAAGATTGTTAAACTCACCGACTGAAAGGCAGCTGATACCAGGTTAGATGGGAAAATATTTCTGAAAGACGAAGAAAGGAAGGAGTTATATATGTAACTGTATATAATATACTCTAAAATCAGATATGATATGAATTGCCTATTACATCAAACAAAACTCAAAAAGTTAACTTCAAAAGTTAGTACCGAGTAGTCTGTCCACATGTTGGCAAGGAAAAACTTGCATGGCCGTTAAACTTTGTCATTTGTTGTAACATGTTGTATATGCTACTTTTTAAAATAAAAAAAAACATTGAATTACAAAAAAAGAAACACTTGCATGTTTCACAGTCAAAAAGAATCAGACAAAGTGGAACAACAACAAATACCAGAGACTCAATCAACGCTAGATGCCTGCGTTGACAAGCAATTGAGTTAGTTGGTCAAAGACACTCACAACTCACAGACATTTTTATTTTAACTCCTGGACCGAAATAGTGAAGACAGAGGACAAGGATGAAACTCTCTACTAGTGCGTTTGCATCAAACGCATGTGCTCACACACTATCAAATAGTGTACACTTTGGTAGTTTGGCTGTATATGCAAAGCATTTGCATCAAAACTGAAGTATATTTTTGGGGGTTTGGCAAACACTGTCCAGAACAAGGTAGTGAGAGAACAGAGATCCAATTCTACCTCTCACAGATTCAGCCCACTGGCAATAAAAATCCTCAAAGTCCTAAACACCCAATCCCAGAGCGGCCTGGCCTCACGAGATGCCTCATGTGGAAATAACTTGGAGAATTTAGTCCGATTATAACCCTCCACTAATCCCAGTTCCACAAATTACCTCCCATCCATATAACCCCATTCTCTCCAATGTAGATGGGCACTAGGACCTGCCTGGAGACTGGAGATGAGGATTAACGTCAAACACAGACATTTATTCAGGAATATTCCAGCATCACTGACCTTAATATGGTGTGCATACAAAAAAACAAAAAACAAGTATGAAACCTGTGTGCCACCCTTTTTCCAAGTAAAATCACATAAACAGCTGTGGTTGAGTTACATTTCTAAAAAGCGCCATTACAGGCCAGATTCTGAACTTGCCCATAGGGAGCTTTCCAGTACATCGCAATCATTCCCGCTAACATCTAGAGAAGCCTGGAAGGTGTAAGGAGACTAGTATTATCATAAAATAATGCAGCCGGAGCAAGACGAGACTGGAAAACCGAGGGAAGAACAGCTTAAAATTTGCTGCATCCCAGACAGCAGGTCACTGCCAAACACCAATGCCAGTGGTCGTTCCCTTCTCAAATTTCCTTCGTCTGAACATTGAGGAAAGTTAGAACTGAAGACACATGCGAAACCAGCATAGCAACATTAGTAAAACCAGTTAATCCCGTTTAAATATTTAATTATTGACACACTCAAATGTTGTCACTGCTTTTCAAAGAGTCACATTCAAATCCAGTGAGCAGGTTGGGCCGAGCACGTCATCCAACATTCACAACTACTAATACCACACAACGACAATTTCATGACTCAATGCATTCCAAGAATGGCTTTATGATGTGATGATGTTCCTGCTTTCTACGTAGGCGTGTAAACAGTGAGACATGTAAAACAGGACCTATTCGAAACGTGGCACTCCACACACCTTATCAAAGATTTATCTTAAGTTCGGTGTTTGTTGACATATTAAAAGTAACTATTAACAAGTAAATGTACCTACACTCTGACTATGCCCTGTCTAAAATAAACTTTCACAAAGTTTACACAAAAAAGGCAATGATGGGGAAATTGTGGGTTTCACATGCACTGTACACAAAGCGTATGCTAATGCATTAAAGGAACAATTTACCCAGAAAACATTTACTGACCGTCATGTCATTCCGAACCCTGACTGCCTTTCTTCAGTAAAGCACAAAAAAAATTAAATTAGCAGAATGTCCAAGCTGCTCTTTTCCATACAATGAAAGTGAATGGTGTCCACAAGCTACTGAAGCAAGTTTTTCAACAAAACACCTTAAATTTCAGTTTGTTCCACACATAAACCAATCAGTATAGCTTGAAAGATGTAAAATGTAGTGCATGAGTTGTGTCGACCATTATTATAGTGTTTTTTGGCCTGAACAGCCCATTCACTTTAACTGTATGGAAAAAGAGCAGCATGAACATTCTTCAAAACTTCTCCTTTTGTGTTCCCCAAAGAAAGAAGGCCATAAGGGTTTGCAACAACAAGACTCACTTAACCTTTAAGATAAACTATATCTTTTGCGTAACACGGGGCAAGGAGGGCTTGTTCCACAAATGTTGTTGCTGTCAGGGGTCTTTCCGTCGCACTGAACCTGATAAGGCAATGCAACTACAGATAACAGATGAACCAAGTTGAAACTTGCAGAAACTGAAAAATCTAGCCTAATGTGAGAGTTAACAAAATATATAAGCTGTTAAGCAAACCTACTAAAAACATGCCAGAACCCGTTTGTAGACTTTTTATAGAAAGACCATCCAACTGCGTTCTTGTCAGAGTGTGGAATTAGCAGGGCTCCACAGTGGTCCTTGCAAATGTTTGGCAGGATTTAGTCACAGTGAAAGCCCAAGAGAGAAGCCCCTTTCATGGACGACACAAGCCACATCAGCTGCCTAATTAACCCTGCTTCTATTGTGCATGTCTGCATGCGTTTGCACGTGCATGTTGCCCTCATATGGCAGGCATACGCCGCTCATTGACTTGCCCTGGAGACACAGCCAAAGAAGAAACATTACAAATGTTTCAGTTTGGCTTTAAATTAGGGTTCTAATTATGGCCAAAACCACTCTTTTAAATGACAAGTTACTGCTGAATTCTGGTGAATTGTATATTGTGAGGAACTGGTCATAAAGTATGAAACAAGGAAGCACATGGAAACTAAAATAGCTGTCCCACCAGGAAGAGACTATGTTACAGGAAGAGAAAAAAAAAAACAGAATTTTAGCAGAAAAACTAACTTCTGTTGGAATGAAGTTATTAAACTGTATTAAACTACAGTGATCTCAATGCCGTTACAAAACAGGCTTTGGCTGTTTAGATCCTTTTCCCACATGGGAATGAATACAGGACTATTAGCAACTGAAAATCTCAACAATTATCAACCATTATTCCTTTATTGGTCTTGAAACCGGAAACTGTAATCAATTGCTACAAATTTAAAGAGAGGAAACAACCATTGCATTTATGAAGTGAAAACCACTTAATTGAATTTTCAAATGTTATTGTCTATTAATTAATAATGTGACAACTCTTACATACAAAAAAAGGCTGAAATATGAATTGAAGTTACTCTATGTGATTTTATTTATTTCTTTTTTTTTTGATAAGCAAAGCTAGTAAATGGCACATTTCATTTTTCACTTTGTGGGCCGAATGACATTTTCAAGGACAGGCCACCACAAACAGAAAAACCCTGTTTCTCTTGGGTCGGGTCACCCTAAATTGTGTCAGTGTAAATATTTGCGTTTTGTATATATTCATTTTAACATGCCCGTCTTCAGTGGTAGTGAGAAAGTTTACAAGTCGTTTACAGAATGCCTTTTGCTGCTTTTGAAGGTAAATGAGAACAGAATGTTCTCGTCGCATCATTCCGTTAATGAAATTTGACCTGTTTACAGGACAACATGGACCAAACCCTAAACCCCACACACAAACTGTATGATTTAGGTTTCCTTACGGAATGCAAGGGATCTCTGCCTCTGTTGAAAGAATAAATGACCATTTTCTTTACAATTTCTACTTATTTGAATTGCTAGAAGTCACAGTCTGACATATACAGCTAAAAACTCAACTTCGGCTTTTACTTCCTCGAGTAATGGAAACCACACACCCAGAAAAGGAAGGGTAGGTGTTACATTAATAAAACTGACCATAAAGCTGCATCCTCTTCAGAGCGGATTAACTGCGTCAAACACGCCACGCGCAGCTGATGCAACTGTAGCGCGTGTTTACAGCACAACGTAAAGCAACTCACGCTATTGACTGTCAAAACAATGTTGCTTAATGAATGTACGCTCATCGATGTAACAATAAGTAGCGTTAATTACAACAACGATTATTAAAACATACCATACTTATATAATTCCTGAGAAATAATGACTTTCAGAGTATACATATCGGAGACCGTTCCGATTCAGTTTGTGTAGCTTTTCGAGCGGACGGCGGGCAACTTGTTGACTCTAGTTACATAATATGTTACATATGTAGCATTCTGTGTTCGTTGACACATTTAATGAATGCTCCTTTCCTCTTCCTGTTCGGCAAAGCTCAACGCTGCGGTGGCATTTATTGCTGTACATTTCAATTTCACGATACGGTTTTAATAATACGTTAATTGTGAATGACAAGCGAGAAATGTGCGACCACGTGGAACCCTTTAGGGTTCACCTAGCCTAGACTCACCTTATCAAGTCTAAAAACGAATCGATGACTTCTTTGGCTTCGGGAACGTTGCTGTCATCCTGGGTGAGTTGGGAAATTTTTTTCCCGTCGCTGGAGCCAGGCTGTATGATGAACGCCATAATAACGCCGATGGCAGACGCGATCAGAGTGGTCACCAGAAAGAAGAGCATCGCCCAGCCGCCCAGCTTGCCCAGGGCTTTGGGGTCAAGGCTGGCAGCTCCTGACACCAGACTGCAGACCACCAGAGGAATGATGATCATCTTGAGCAGGCGGATGAGGAGCTCACCGGGGAATCCGAAGTAAAGGATCTGCGTGCGGCTCAACCCGGCGCTTCGCACGCCGAGCCCGATGAACACGCCGACGATGACCGCGGACACCGTCAGGATGACCAGCAGATTGGCCAATACGAAGCGTTTCATCTTCTGCCCGGTGGTCTCCGGCTCGCTCCTCTTGTGATCACCCAAGCCATTGGCGATGGTTGTGTCGTCCAGGTGCGCTTCACCGTTGGACGTCTTTACATCTTCTATGGAGATCTTTTCTTCTGCCATTGTGCTGTCTGGAGGTTGGAGAGCCGATGTAAAAAGTCTTAGGAGGCTTTGGTGTGAGCTGATTGTCTCTGCCCTCTCTCCTCATGTGCTGGCAGTGTGAAAATGACGTTGAACTATCCACTAACGTTAGCTATAACCTCATGAGGGCGGGGCTTGCATCATGCAAATACGGTCTGACTTGTACTGGAATAAATAGATACATATCTAACGTTATATCCTCTTGAGACCCAGCAAAAAGGTTTTGACACATATATATTTATTTATTTATTTATATTTGTATTTATCTAAATGTGTGTGTTTGTGTTTTGATATATACAGGTGCATCTCAATAAATTAGAATGTCGTGGAAAGCCAAAATCATGACAATTAAAAGAACCAAAGACTTAAACTACTTCAGTCTGTGTGCATTGAATTTATTTAATACACGAGTTTCACAATTTGAGTTGAATTACTGAAATAAGTGAACTTTTCCATGACATTCTAATTTATTGAGATGTACCTGTATACACACACACACACACACACACACACACATATATATATATATAAAGGTATATATAGATAGATAGATACAGTGGCCTTTATTTGGATACTTTATAAATGTGTAAATTCCATTAAATAACTATAAGTATCAAATGAATATCAAACCAGTTGGAATTTATTTTAAAGAAATAAAGCACACGCACACTTTTCAATTAAAACATTTAACAAAAAGCACTTTGTTAGTTTTAAAATAATAAAACAATAGATTTACCGGTCAAAATTACAAAGGTTAAAGTAATTACAATTAAAATTGTTTAAAGTAATTAAATAACAAACACTCACATTGTTGAAGTTCTGATAGAAGGTCTTGCAATTTATTTGCAACTGTCTAAAAGAAAGTTGTCTCTTAGAAAAAGTCTATAATTTGCTGCAGAATTCATTAATTTAATAATTTATATTTATTTAATATATTTTATAAAGTGTGGCTTAAAGGGATAGTTCACCCAAAAATGTGGGTAACCAAACAATTGATGGTCCCCATTAACTTGCACAGTATTTTTGACCAAGATGGCCACCAATTTGACTAACTTGACCTATGTGGATACTGGCGTACTGTCTTTATCTTTATATGGCAGTAATAGTAAGAATAGTATGCTAGTATAGTTTCAGTCTTTGACTCATACGTGACCTAAAAAAGAATACCTGACCCAACCTCTACACCCAACCAGGCTTGCTGCTTTGCCACAAAATATGTTTGCAGAGCATCAAAAACGACAATATCTCATTGTTAGCAGAAATCTGGTCTTTGTTTCTGTCCTCACTTCTGTAATCAAATATGCTGAAGGTTGAGATCCCCGCATAGAGCCAGAGTCAGATTATCTTTAATAAACAAAACCCCTCATTTTCTTTAAACAGTTATTGTTTTTTTCAGCGTGGTGCTTTATGGGAAGAGCTTTCATGTTAATAAGAGCAGTCTACACTCTATAAACAGTGCTAGCGCACTCATCAGGGGTCCCTTTTTGAAAGCTAAGGGTCTGCTTATATAAGGTTCATCTTTTCTGTATTGGACCGTGTAAACCGTATTTCACAGAAGCACGACATTCCACAGATATTGTGTGCTGGTCTGAGAGAGAGATTTGAGTGCCAGAAAGCCATACGGTGAGAGGGGATGATGTGCGGATCGTCCGAAGCAGGGGGCCTCCCTTCTCAAAACAGAGCGTTTGCTCTCTCTTCTGTGCGTGTCACACACGCCACGACCTTGATGCCCTTGAATAAACACCACTGCCCTGCTTGGCTCCATATATGACCTCCTACAGAAAACCTGCTCCGTCTGGGACTTATTACATTTGGATTCTACAGTAGATCTGAGCAAAATCCCCAGATGTTTCACTGCAGGTGAATGTTCAAGAAACGTTCTCTGAACATTCTGGCAAAGTTCTCTCAATTATCTTCATTTGTTCAGTTATCTGGTCTTTAATAATGTTCTCATCGTTCATTGAATGTTTTTTCTGAAATGTTTTATCTAACATTTTGAAGCGTAACCTGTTTCAGAATGTTCAGAGAACATTAAAGCATCCTCATAACGTTTGCAAAATGATCAAATGGAATGTTCTCTTAACGTACAAATAAACAAGTAAAAATATTTTTAAAACGTTTTTTTTTTTTTTTTAAAGTGGATGTTTTTAGAGAACATAATGTTAGCAAAATTGTTGGAGCATATTTTTGTTAGCTGGGCTTATACTGCAATTCTGGAGATGGTAAAGGCTTTTTATATATTCCTTTTTTATTATCTCCTTTTATTGCACTGCTTTGAATGTCGCTGAGTCATTTTACTACTGCAGTGTCATTTTCATGGGATGTCCTTATTTTTTAAATTTCAAAACTAATGGAAACCACAGATATGAATTCATAGAAACTGCATTAGCAGCTGTTGCTGATTAACATCTGTACACAAAAGCAGTTTATTCTGCAGTGTACTTCAACCTAAATCAATGTTTTATTACATAATTTGTTGATTTTTTTGTATAATAAATGTAATAATTTAATACCTGCAGCCTTTTTTATGAGTAAAACTTTTTAATGATGAAGAAATGAGGACATCCTTAAAATTAGCGACAATGTATTTTCTATCAATTCTTAAATAGTATTTTATTAATTTTTATTTTATAATTTATTACATTTGTTTTGTTTATCTAAAGAAAGATACTACAATTTGGAGTATTTGAAGTATTATGCCTCGATGCATGTCATTGAGCCATTCTTTTCCTGCCTAAGAACTGTTACAGTATGCAGTGCTAGCAAAACAAAGCAAACAGGGTAAAATTACCTGAGAGTCACATGACCTTTTACAACAGGGAAAAGGAGAAAGCTCAATACAATGTCGTAGGTGTTCATGTCATGGGAAAGCAAGCCCAGGCACAGAGTTTGTGAAGTAAAGCACCAGAATGGCATCAGCAGAGAAACCAGATACTGTATGTCTATCTTGGAAACCTGGCACCCTTCTTTTGGTTCTCTTCAGCCTCTGTATAATGTTCACACAGAGACTGCATTGTTCAGAAAAGTACAAGATAGCAAGAAAACAACAGTGCAAGAAGAGGGTTATATACGAATATGTGAATGTATGTTCCCTGGACAGCATGTGGTGAATGTGGTTGTTGGTCTACATGTGTTCGAGATACCCAAACTGCACGTGATTATAAATAGAAAGTCATTCTGAACTGAAATTTGGTATGGTAGCATTGCAGTATTTGAACGTACTGTAAGTTTTGGATAAAAGCATCTCAAAAGAATAGTTTTGCATGTAAATGCAAAGAGTCCTCTGTGTGGAGTTCTTCTGAGGGCGGACAATGTAAAATGCTGAGTCACCCTTACTGAGCTGAATCAATGGATATCCAAGCTATTATTTTGAATCGTCTGCATTGAAATGATGGAATGCAGCTTATTACAGAATAAAGGTTCATTCTAAACTCAGTTTAGGTGTTGGAAATGTTCTTGTCAGGTCACGCTACAGATCCATTCAGCTATGCTTTTCTTCCTTGGAGACAGTCCAGACAGCAGAAACAGACATGTGGTGAGATTTAATGGCACACAGATGAGTAAAACTGCTGAATCATGGCAACTAAGTAAGGCGTGCTTGATCATTGTGAATGGGAAAATCTTCTGCTCTCATTTCTGGGCTGGGACTATTAGTCAATTTTATCTGTCTAGCACTTTTCACATTGCACATTGTTTCAAAGCCACTTTACAGAAAATCATGATGTATGTTTATCAAATCTTCATGCCTTAGTTGCAATTAGCAGATTAGAGCTGATGATAGTTTACACTCTGTGACAATTGTTTATAATATATAAACAATCAAGCAGTTGAGATGTGTGTGAATATAATATTAATATTATTATTTATTAGGACAATTTAATAAAATCCAAACATAAATGATTAATGTATGAATTAAACATTATCAGTTTTGAATCTTTTTTTTTAGCTGAATACAACCGGTTAGTTTATATTTGACTATTTTTTCAGTGTATATCCAATTCTACTACATTATCATCATGACAATACAATACCATAAACCCTAAAACAAACTAAACATTATCAGTTTTGAATCTTTTTTTTTAGCTGAATACAACCAGTTAGTTTATATTTGACCATTTTTTCAGTGTATATCCAATTCTACTACATTATCATCATGACAATACAATACCATAAACCATAAAACAAAGGTAAAAATTATTATTTAAATGACATACAGCTCAAATAATACAAACACGGTTATAAGCTGCTCATTTCTGCTTTCAAACCCTTCAGAAACTGGCCCTATTTGCATTGTAAGTGCTTGATTTTTGCAAGAAAACAAGGGATGAGTCAAAACTATGTTTGTGGTAATCAACATTATGCCAAATGCAGCCAACAGAGCTTAAATTTAGTATTGTATTGAACACAGAATATTCCTTTAAATTTAGGTTTGACAAAACTATCACATGACTTATATGTGAACAAATCTAAGTCTTTAGAAATACGGTGCAATCATATTACTGTGTGAATGGGACAAAGTGCAATGCGCAATATGATGGAATAAGTCCCGCCTCTATATAAAAGAGCCAATGGCCAATTCACCCTCACCGGGAGTTTGATTGACAGGTGAGCTGACCAATCATAACACCGAAACAGGCGTTTTATATCTACAAATGAGTAATTAAAGATATCTATATTTGATTCTGTATGAGGCATAATTCTAATTAGAGATATATCAAATTACAATTTTACTAGTGATAATTAAACTAGAGATATCTCTAATTGAATTACCACTAGTAAAAATTATAATTCGAGACATCTCTAACTCGTGTTTGACTAGTCATAATTAAATTTAAGATATCTTTAATTCATTATTTTTTAAAGATATCCTAAATACATTATTAGATATCTGAAAATAGGCTACTAGTCAAATTACAAGAGTAGCCTAGATATCTTGAACTTTATTTTTAAGCAAAACTTAATAAAAGATATGCATAACTGGAATTCTTCCTAGTCAAAACTAATTTAAATATATCTGTAATTTAATTATGGACATCTCAATCTGATTTTGACTAGGGAGATCTTTCTTTGGAGAAATGCATTTAGCTTTGTGACTGGGAGTATTTTAAGCTAAAACGGCTTGCCATACTGGGAGGGCTTTCAATGTATAGATATCTAGAATTTA